AATTTTATTTATTATATTACTTATGATTATAATTTTAATAATTATATAAATAACATTGTATTTTTTAAATTGAATATTATTTCAAGTGATAGAGAGAGAGAGAGAGATGAAACATGATTACGTTATATTCCATCAATTAGAAATTCAAGATCTCAGTTTAGAGGAATTTCCACTTTAGGAGAGATAGAGACCTGAATGAAATTATTCGTAAAGACGAGAACTATCTGAACATTCCTTATATCCAGTCTATCTCTATAGTGAGAAAGAGAATGAGAGAAACATATAACAGCAACGACACACGAAGTGTTTTCCTAGAGAGTGGCAAACAATATGCACGAAAGATACAAACCTTTGAATATTCCCACGAGTAATTGCAAATATTCAGTGCAGTGACACGAGAAGAAAACAAAGTTTATGTATGCCATTGTGTATTAGAAAATAGTTATATTCTCAAGAGTTAGTAAAATAGTAACACGCATAAGTATGAAAAGCAGAAAATAAATATAAATGTCAGAATTTTGTTAGAATTTATTGTTGCTTATTGTAATGTGGTGTGTGTTATAAAATTATATTAATTTAATTATTACATTATTTAAATGTTATATATAACTGTTTATTATATATACATAAAAATAAAAAAAGAAAAAGAAAGTGAGGTAAAAAGTGTAAAAATTATTACACTATTTAAATGATATATATATATCAAAGTTTATGAATATAAACTATGATATATATGTATAATATATATAAAACTATATATACTATATGATATAATATATATAAAATAGTTATATATATTATATCATATATAACTATTTATTATATATACATAAAAATAAAAAAAGAAAAAGAAAGTGAGGTAAAAAGATGATGTTTTTTTCTCGTTAGGAATATATAAAAATAAAAATTTCGTACTACCATATGAATTTGTCATTTTCTTTCTGTTCATTTCAGAGGCACAGCATCCACGGAATGATGGAGGAGGAAAACGTGGTCAGACCTCACCAGGAAATGACGAGTCTTTCTATGCAAGAGAAAAAATATTTGCTTGCAGTAGAACGCGGTGATGTGGCATCCGTAAGAAGGCAAGTTAAGACATTTTTTTCAACAGTGAATCGTTTCTACTTCCTCTGACAACTAACTGTTCTATATTTTTTCTACAAAATTTCTATTTCATCTCAGTTCTTTCGTACATTTTTATATTTTTTTTTTTCAGAGAAGAGTAAAAGAAAATTTGTCAAGTACAGTTTTAACGTTCACTCGTATAATCTTTTCTCAAGCGTAATTATAATTATGAGAAACAATAAAACAACACCCCATACACAAAATCTTTTAAATATAATGCACTTATATTATTATTATCAACATAGAACACAGTATACGGGGTTCTAAAACTACTGATTATAATTTACCGCTTCCGGTAAATTATTCTGTCACGTAACATCGTCCCCAGAGAACACCACCACCACCACCACCATCACCACTACTACCACCATTACAACCACCACGGACGATCAATTTACATAGTCCGATTTTCCTCTATCTTTTCCATTGGTCGGACCAGTGAAATACGTTTTCGAATTGCATGCCGAATCGTCTTTTTTTTTTTCATCTCTTTTTCCTTTTTTTTCTTTTTTAATGTAACGTTTAAAAAAAGAAAAACAAAAAGAAACCAAATCGAACATTTTATTCGTTATTACACCCAACGGCTAAAGGAATTTTATCATACCTCGTGTGTTACGAATGAAATTATTATTATATGTTTTTTATTACATAACTTTTTTTTTTTTTAAAATCTACACTCTTTAAACGCGCGTTTCAATTATTTTTCTTCCGCAATTTTTGTTTTATTAAATTGGTATCTCAATTCGATTGGTCATTTGAAATAAAAAAAATATAAAGCACAGCAAGTTATCGAAATGTCAGTCAAAGTGGAATTTGAATGATTTTATTTCGTTAAGAATAAATTTATATAAAATACCTATTTCTTTTTTTTTAAATCTTATTCCTCACAGATTGTCCTCGTATGCACGTATCAGTTTTGTTTTATTTTTTTCTCTTCTTCATTTCGTACAAGAGGACAGTTCAGCAAATGATCGTACATTCCCTTTTGCAGTTTTCCTCATTCTCTTCCTCTCATACATGCAAGCAAGCTTTCATTTTAAGTTAGTAGATGTGTAATACGAATCACATGGATACACCTAACCCACCCCCTTTCAATACACTCTTGCGTATACCACCCTGTGAAATTAAGGATTCGATTGTTCCCTCGTTATCTCTATTTGTGAACATGCTCGTGTGTTTCTCGTGCACACTTATATACACAAAAGCGTTGACACGTTCATGAGAGGACCAGAAATCTTTCTCTTACACATATATACACATACACACACTCTCTCTTTGTATTCTGTCAACCGTATAATCCGTTGAAACGATCCACCATAAAAAAGAAAAAGCAAATCATTGGTGGTTTTATCATCATTCCTTGCAGCAGTATTTTATTATTTTTTTTAATAATTAAAATTAATAAGAAGGGGGAGGAGGAGAAGGGGGGAAAGATTAATGTAAGGATCAATTTATCTTCCTCTCTCGTTTTTTTTTTCTTTTCTTTTCTTTTCTTTTTATTCGACTTTTTCTTCTTCATCGTTTCTTTTATTTTATTTTCCATTGAATTTTTCTACCCCTCTTCTCACCTTTATTTCTTTTCCTTTTTTTTAATCTTCATTTCTCCTGTTACGAGGATAAAGGTTTTAAAAGTAATTAGCCACCGAAGGGTTTTCAACATTTTCTCATCTTCGAGAGCTTTCTTCTTCTTCTTCTTTCGCCACGTTGGTGAATAAAATCAAGTGTCACGTGGCTTACCACCATTTCGTCTTTGGCTATGACAGGAACATTAATTATTCTTGGGACAAGGTCGAACTTAAAATGAAAGAACGAACTTCGTGAACTGAGCTTTCAATAATCATTTACGGCCTATCTATTCGTTTTAAGGCAATTAGTAACGATTAAACTGCATAACGAGCTTTTCTAATCCACGCAATTTCATTTTTTCAAAGCTAAAGTTAAAGATAATGAGATATAATTATTTAGAAACAATTGCAAAAAGGTAATAGGAAAATTTCTTAACAATTTAAAAGGAATAATAAAATATATTTTAGATAATTAAATATTCTGATAGCATAAAAATGATATCACAAACAATCGAACGACAAAATTCTTTTACTTTTATTATATTAAAGGCTAAATTAAAATAAAATATATAATATATATATTATTAAATTATTAATAAAAATAAAATAAATAATATATATATTATTAAATTATTAATAAAAATAAAAATATTCGCGTGCGTGTTATTTAAATGAATATTTTTGAAAAAGAATTTTACACAATAACAATTCGTTATGCAGTTTCCAAAATTAAATGCACATTTGATTCAATACCATAATATTTTACTGATTTATTTTCAATCTTTTCATTGATGTTACAATTCTTTAATATTTTTACTTTTGTAATCTTTATTTTTCTCAGCTTTATAAGCCAAGAGTGGAATAACTTGGTTTACATTTGAATAATTTTTACTTAAAATTATTTCTATTAATAATAATAATATTATTCTATATTTGTGTTGTTAAAGAATGCTTCAAAGTGTACACGAGACAGAATTGAACATCAATTGCGTGGATCCTTTAGGAAGATCAGCTTTATTAATGGCAATTGATAATGAAAATCTTGAAATGGTGGAATGGTTGATCGAACACAAAGTTGACACGAAGGATGCATTGCTTCATGCAATTTCGGAAGAATTTGTTGAAGCTGTCGAAGTACTTCTTGATCACGAAGAAATTTATCATAAGGATGGTGATCCCCATGTACGTATCGATTTATTTATTATATCAAATTTTTGTTTCTATTTCTATCTTTGTTTCATACACACACATACACACATACACTCATTCTTTTTCTATTTTATTTCGAAGAAAAAGGAAAAAGTTAAGCTTTTAAAACACTCTCGAAACTACAAATCACATTGGTCTTCAGTAGGATGTTAAAAGTAACAAGAAAAAAAAAATAAAGTACTCAAAGTTTCGACGCATATTTTTGACCAATAATGTTTGCGCATTGAAACACAAAACACACACACGTGTAATTATTAAAGTTTGTAGAAAGAATTGTCGAAGTTTTTTATTATATTATTTTTTTATCATTGAGATATAAAATTAGTAATTTTGAAAATTATCAAATTTTTTATTAATAATTTCCATCACATTATCACACGAGTTTTTAAAATAATATTAATAATAATCATTAACAATAAATAACCTATATATATATATAAAAAAATGAAACAATCATATTACCAATTATCCAAAATTAATAATAATTAGAAACTTTTGTATAAAATAATTTGTGTTATACTTACAAAATATTTTTTTACAATATCCTCCTATCCCATAGCTTACAATTGAAGGAACGTAAATTTTTTTGGGTATCGAATAAATCGAAACAAAATTCGTAAAAGAGAAAGAAAGAGAGTGAGAGAAAGGAAAGAGACGAAGATAAAGGGAAAGAAAAAGAAAGAAACATATATATAAAAACGATTACAGTCACGTACGAGGGGGTAATGAGGAGAGCACGTGCGATACTCTCTCTCTCTCTCTCTCTTTTTTTCGTTTGATTTTTTTGGGATTCGTGCTTCATAGCTTTATTCGATCCTCGTGCTTGGTATACCGATTAACTTATCTTTCAATCGAAACTACAATTTCGTTTATTTCTATCATCCTCTCTCCTTGTTTCCCTCTCTCTTTCTCTCTCTCCCAATTTTTTTATCTTTCATCTATTATTCTAAGAATACATAGAAGAAAAATGAATGATTGAAAGAAACGATTAATGATTTAAATTGTAAAATTTTGTCAAATTAAATTCTGTCCTTTTTGAGAACAGACGTGCAATTCGTAGATACCATTAGAGATAGATAAAAAAATAAAAAAAGAGAGAGAGAGAGAGAGAGAGAAAGAAGGAAAGAAAATTTATAAGGGAAAGAAAGAAAGAAAAAAAAGAAAATGATATAAAAGAAATTCGAGTAAATTCTGGTTGAAAGTTTAATCGGCTTTAACGAGGAATCGGCTTACGATAGAAGTTCGTCAATGATACCTCACTTCTCCCCCTCCCCCTTTCCCATCCTTCTACTCCTCCTTCTTGGAAAAAGGATGAGATTCGGAATTAGAAACGAATTCATTATGTCTTCGAAAATTGGATGGTTACGATGAAAGCTATTCCTCGTTTGGTATCGCGTCTAATTAATATACCGATTTATCACATTACCAGATTTTATTCACCTTATACATTTTTTTTGAATCTTTTTATCTGACCGTCAGATAACGAAACCGAAAGGTTTGATATTTTTATTTTTTCTTTTTCTTGATTTATATTCTCTCAAGTATTTAATATAGAAATCTTTGATCTGTCGTGCAAATTAATTCGGTGGATTAATATTTCTAATTTTGTTTTGGTTTAATTTTTGGTAATCTTTCAATAGGACAAGGTTTGACATATGCGAGATGTTTTTGATTATTTTTAAAGATTAGACAAAACAAACTCGTAGGAATTAAATTTTGTTTGAAGTGGATCGTTTGAAAAATAAAATGCATCGAATTGAATTTTCACGACTGATTATTAATGTTCGCGTTGATATAATAAAGCTACGTATTTTAGTCATAGTTTCTTTTTTTTTTTGTTTTTGTAGTTTTAGTTATTATGTTTATTAATAAGTTTATTATAATTCATATCACGAATTAGTCAGATTTATTTTCACGAAAATAATATTATAATAATATGCCTATGGAAGCAGAGCTGGGAAGCTCTACCACCGGATACCGCAACTTTCACACCGGATATAACACCATTGATTCTATCAGCTCATAGAGACAATTACGAGATCATCAAGATACTTTTAGATCGTGGATCAACTTTACCAATGCCTCATGACGTTCGTTGTGGGTGAGTCATATTTTATTTCATTTTTTTTATTTAATTTTTGATTACCTTTTTTTGATATCAAAACAGAATACAAACAAACAAACAAACTTACGTAGAACAACCAATCGAATTGATCGAATGAAAAGAAATTAAATACAATTTCCAAATTGTATTTTACAATTAAATTATTTTACAAATAAATTCTAAATGCCAAATTGTATTTTACAATTAAATTATTTTACAAATAAATTCTAATGTTCAAAATTGTATTTTATTTCTTTTCCAACGAAGAAAAATAAGTGTAGACAAGAAATAAAAAAGAAGAGGAAAGGAAAGAATGGAAAAAATAATTATAAGAAAAAAAAAAAAATATATATATATAATATCATTGATTCAGGTGTGACGAATGCGTGACGTCCAGACTTGAGGATTCCCTGAGGCATTCAAGGAGTCGAATAAATGCCTACCGTGCCCTGGCATCACCCTCTTTGATAGCATTGTCCTCCAAGGATCCCATTCTGACAGCCTTTGAACTTTCCTGGGAATTACGTCGACTATCTTTTCTCGAGCACGAGTTCAAGTGCGAATATCAGGTAAGATAAAGGATAGGAATAAACTAAACAAGTGAATTCTTAAAGATACAAAGTAAAGAACAAAAGGAAACAAAAGAAAAAAGTAACATCACCTTTGACAACTCTTTCATTTTCTCTTTCAACCAAATCAACCCTAAAACCTGCTTTTATTCCTTTTTATTTTTATTCCTATCGAGAAATATAGAAAAAAATATATTGAGACAAATATTTCACGTTCGTATTTTATGATCTTATTGGAATACAACAACAAGAAATAAATAAATAAAAAAAAGGGAATTGAACAAATGCAGGATGTTGTTTAACATAACAATATATGTTGCATACATACTTCTTATATATTAGTTTATATAAATATAAAGTATATATATATTATATGTGTGTAAATATCACAAGCGTATTATACGGTGAGTTTTATTTTATGGTTAAAGGGTTAATTTTACGAACAAACGTTGAAAGGACATTTTGTTTTTTAATTCTTTCGAACAACTGCCACGAGTCGATCCTTTTTTTTTTTATTTATCACCTTGTGTGTAAAAATGCATTAAATTAAAAATGACCAATTAACCTGTGACAATTTAATTTACATTTTATTTTCTTTTATTTCCTTTTCATAAGGATTTCATTTCTTTTCGTTTATCTTCCATTTAAATTCGTGTTAGGTTGTTGATCGAATTAGAAAAAAGAAGACAGAAAAATTGATATAGAAAAAATAACTCTATCGAACCAATTGATATTTTTTTACTTAAATTTATACAACGAGTAAAAAAAGAGTAATATATACTTACAATCAAGGACGACTCGATACCTTCTTCCTTATTTTTTTTATTTTTTTATTAACTTTTTCTTTCATCTTAAATCCAAGTTTTTCTTGTCGAGGTCAAGCGTCACCGCACGTGCTATGAAATTGCACCTACCTTTCTTTTTCTCTTTCATTCTTTCTTTCTTTTTTATTTCTCTCTCTCTCTCTCTCTCTCTCTTTCTTATTCTTAAGTGGCGGAAGTTTAAGAGGAGCTCGCCACGAGCCGGCAACTTTTGATTTATGCTTCTATAAATCAAGTACCACGAGTAGAATACCAGCAGGAGGCTGCCGACGAAAAGTGAAGTGCTTTATAGTTTCCATACTTTGCTCTTTTTTTTTTTTCTTTTCTTTTTGTTCACACATACATACATATTCTAACAAAGTGTACCCCACATACATATGTATACACGTATATACACGTGTTGAAATTCATCGATCTTTCCAACATTTTATGCGTACCCTTTAAACTCGTGTCATTCCTGCAATCCCTTTTTTTTCTATACGAGAAAAGTAATAGAAAACAAAAAAAAAAAGAAAGAAAATACATTCATGCACGTGTGCAACATACACGTGAAAACGAATGAACGAATAACAAAAAGGAAGAATACAAAAAAAGAAAAAAAATAAGAATAAGAAGAGGAAGAAGGAATAGGTACACTGATTAAGAAAGTACAAACTGACCTATAAACTCGCGATGGGGGAAATAACAAACGTGTAAATGTGCTTGCGACACAATGATGAAGAGAAAAGACGTGTTTACTGGAGCAGCAAATCGAGACTCGAGCAACGAACAGCACATCGTACAAATGCACACATACACACATATATATACATTTTCCCAATACCATACCATACCATAGAATTTTCTTCCCTCTTTCCTTTGTGTTTTCTACACGAAAGTTTCTTTCTTTATTTCTTTCTTTCATTCACTTTCTTTCTTCAACTCGTCTATCAACGCTTCGATACGCTTAGTATTCCTCTTGTATAGAAATGTATATATATGTGTGTGTGTGTATTTGTTCGGTGTATTCTGAATTTTTCATCAAAGGATCTTTATAACCGAGTTTATTAAACATTTACGAATCCTATTTTTCGTATCGTTCTATCGTTTCTTCACCACCCACCCACCCACCCACCTCTTCCTACCTTTGTTAAACGTAAATTATCTTTGTAATTGTATTATTTGTTCACTTTATTTCTCCCACCGGTCAATATTATCTTATATTATCTTGAACTTACTTTATTCCCCCTTTTCACAACGTGTTAATGAAAATTCTTTTTATTTTTTCTTTTTCTTTCCCTTATATTATAGAATGTTATTTTCTTAAAAACAAAAAAAAGGGAATTCATTCAGGATAATTACTTCAAATGTTTTATTCATGCAATTTCGATGAATAAATTATTTCAATTGAATTGAAGAAAATAATCTCAACCTATATTTTAAATATTGGTATTTTTTTTTTGGATCAGATGATTGTGTGTTGTTGGTGATTATCTAAGAGAATGAWATTGGCCATGGTGGTGGTGA